TGGCTCAGCGCACCCTGGGGGCGGGGCTGGCATGGCATGTGGTGCTGGGGATCAAACCGCGGTACCTGTGTGTTTGCCTAAGCAGGTGCTTTAGGCCACTGAGCTATCTCAGCTGCCCTTATACTGCACATTTTTGAGGCTGCTGTGAAACTGGTTTATGACTGTTGTATGTAGCCTTGTAAACTCAGAGAACTAACTGTGCTTTTTTTGTTTTTAACCTATTGTTTTCAGAGTATTTATTTTAAATTAAAATTTGTAACACCACTGAATAAATAAATAAAAATAAATGTGATTTGCAAGTATTTTCCAAAATTTTTCTAAAAACTGTAAACGACCCTCTAAGATTAATATGGTGAAAACTCATTCAATGAAAACACTTGTTTCTGACACTCTTAGCTTTTTCTAATCTTCGATCATGAAACTGATTTAATGTTTATCTAACCTAAACCAGTTATATAAGTCAGAGAAAATGATTTATTGTTAGAGAGGATAAGTGATTTTTCTCTGATTGACACTATGAGGTGTAAAACTGAGTGCACCTAAAATTCAGTAAAAAGTTCTTTTCTTAAATAAAATTGCATCTGTTTGGAGAATAGCAAGAATGTATGTAGTGCTCACATTTATTCATCTTATCAGTTCAAGGACACAATGCTGAACTGAAGATGTAAAGTGCCCACAAAGCCTTAAGTTTGATCGCCACAAAAAATCATGGTTTTTTTAGTGAATATAATATCAAGAAAATTATACTAGTTTTATTTATATCTCCAAGTTACATGATAGACCCATAACATAAAGCTCATATGAAGAAACTGTACCATAGACACACAATCTCTTTTCCACACCTGAGGAGCTTGATGGTTTCAAAATTCAGAATTTTTCAATTTTTAGGCAGAAAGTATAGTGCATGAATGGTAACTATCACATACCACCAGAAGGCCTGGGGAACCCACTCCTAATGAAAAACAGTATTTCAGAAGCAAAATACACTTTCATTTTCAATTGAAATTTTGAAAAAATAGACCATAAAGATATCATATGTCAGTTCAAATTTTGGTGCCAAATCTTTCCACTTTTAGAGGATTTTTGGAGTAGAGTTGTGAATTGGACATTACTGCCTCGTGTAAGAAAAAGTAGTAAGTATGTCACCTTTTCTCATTTCGCATGACTCCTGCTAGGAGTGGCTGAAGCTAGAAATTGGGCATATGTGTGAGGGCAGGACAAGGCCACAGTGTCGACAGCAGTCAAGCTACCTCTGTCTTGAGAAAAGCATCTTGCCTGGTCAATTTTTGTCATTAGTTGCTAGGCAACCTTGTGTCTCATGATACTAACTTTGCAAAGATATAAATACATGTGCCTACTGTTGTTGTTCTGGTCCTTTGCCCATCAGGCAGGGGCCTCTACCTGACCTCATCTACTGTCTCTTGTCTTTATTTTCTAAATCCTCTTGCTGTTTCCTCCTGGGAACCTCCAAGAGACCAACGAGTCCCTGCAGACCTCCTGTTTCCACAGGCAGAAGTCGGCCATTCCAGTAGAGCTCAGAGTTTAGAAGTGACCACTAAGGGGGGTTGTAGTCCCCCAGGTTTGTGACCTCAAGTCTTCCTGGTTCAGTAGTCAAATGTGCATCCTTCTGTCAAATTTCGAATTTTGAAAGACTGTGTGGAATTATTTTTTTGTGTGTACAGAGGTTCTTGTTATTAAATGGTACTTTAAACCAAGATAAAATCTACACCACAAAATTATTAAAGCCATCAAATATTATTTTCTATAAAAGAAAGACATTAAGAAGGTACCTGGTCCTCCAGGCCAATGGCTTTTAAAGCTTGTCGTCCTCTATAAGAAAGGGCCAAGTTAATGCTTCTTCCGTGTGAAGATTTCGCCACTCGGATATCTAAGATATTGGAAGCAGACCTCGTGTTAGACACAAGTTCTTATATTCTAGAACAGATTGAGCATATTACTGTATCTGAACAATTGTTGTATCAGAACTATAGTAAGAGACTTTTGAATTCCTCTACAGAAAACACTAATAGTAAATTAGCATTAACTGAATATTTTGAGCGCTGAGGTTTTCAAAGAAATCACTTTTCACTTATTAAAATATTTTATTCAGAAAATCTGAGAAAGACGTCAAAAACTCATAATCACATTTCACAATATTTGTCACGGACTTACCTTCCCTGGCTTCATATACATCAACTTGGAAATTCCTCTTTGCAAGGAAGCATGCGTTTAATGCTCCGACCTAGGAAGCAGAACAATTTCTTTTCATGTGCTCGTCTGACACATAGAGGAATTCATGACAAAATTACATACTGTCTGTGGTTGTATGTTACTAGTATCTTTTATGACGCTGATTTAGTCACTGCTGGAAAGTACCCATGACACAAATAGTAAGCTTAAGTTAAGGTTAAATGGTATAATTTTAGAAGTGGTTTTGGTTTATCTGGTTTTTTGGCCCCTCACCCCTTATGCTATAGATTGAATGCAGGAGGATTCTGCCTCTGAGCCTCATCAAGGGCCCTTTCAGAATTTTGTTCTGAGGCACTATCTCACTAAATTATTCAGTGTGGCCTCAAACGTGTGTGTTCCTCTTCCCTCAAATTGCCCAGTAGCTGGGGATTGCGGGGATGTGTCACTGCTCCCAGATTTTTCTTTTTTCATTTTTTTTAATAGTGAGGTAGATCTCTTTTGCAGAAAGAACATAAAACATACATATAGTTTATAGAATAATAAGAAAGTAAACCTTTATAAAGTTATAAATCTGACAATCACTATTCAGGTCAAAAGGTTAAACCTTGCTGGTTCATTCAAACGCTCCTACTTCCATCCAATTACAGAGCCTACTCCTCCCCTCATTACTGACTTTGTGATGATGTATCATTGCTTAGTCATAATTTTGCCACTTAGGTACATATCTCTAAGCACTATAGTTCAAATTTGGCCATTTTTGAATATATATATTTGAATATA